CAGAAATAGAGACGAAATAAGGGCCTGGCAACTCATCAGTCAAATGGTACTGATATCACTTTTAAATATCAACCCTCGTTTGCGCTGAAATCACAAATTAGAAAGCTGAAATAGTACAGAGCCAACAACTGACCTGTGTGTACGTCACCGTATATTCCAAAAATATTCTGTATTTATTGTAATTAAAATATATCTCTAAGAATGGGGGTTGTTCCATTCTGTGGTGTGGGGAAAACAGTAAAATATCTAATTACAAAACAAACGGAATCACATTTCATTGGTAATTAAATATTAAATAAGTAATATTTCAATTTTCGTTCAGCAAAGCGCAAGCTAAACTGGTCGATTTGAAGTGAAACAATTGACGACACCCGTCAGTTCGGGCTGGCACAGTTGTCACCGTCATGATTTGGCAGAATAGTTTCAAACAAATTAAATGAAATTTCGTCTCTTTTTTCATAATATCAAGTGACGGGACGAACAAGTCGTGCCCCTGATGGTAAGCTACACGCCTGTCCATAACATTTGCAGTGCCACTCAGAGCTTTAAATCGCAAAGATTTGAAGGGCACTGCTACTGCGCCCGTCACCCTGAGACATAAGGCATAAGACATATGAAATTTCTATTTCTGGTTATATACTCGATGTAAGCAAAGTGTAAACATAGCCTAAAACACAAGAGGACTGCTAATTTCCATAATACAATTCGTAGCTCGGAAAAAGGTCAACTTTCCGTCTTACGTCTAGATAGATTGAAATATAAGAAGTCAGATTTTTTTCCTTGTAATATTATACAAATGTTGATCGTGAGCTAAAACAATTTTCTTAAATTTGACAAATATGCATCTCATTGTGTGTTACAAACTAATTTATAAATTAACGCTTTTTAATATGGGTAGATGGCGTTAATCCTAAAAAAAACAAACGAATAGCCACCACTTTCCATAAAAATCTGAACGATAAGCGCCATCTAGTTCATTTGTTTGTTATCACTACAAATTAGAGTAGTTTTGATGAATTGGTAAAACAAATTAGCTACAAAAATAGCTATGTGGCACTCGTCGCGACATCTGGTTTGTCAGTAGGTACCCGACTGCGCTATCTTGTATGGCGATTAACAGTCCTCTGGACTTATTTGGTTCATGGTATAAGTATTTCGCGGTAATAAGGCCACATCTGCAAAATGTCAACTTTTCTGGAGACAGGTTTCAAGAATTCTGTGAACGTAGTCGATAATTTTTATATACTTATATAGGAAATTTATAGTTTCATAATTAAAAGCACTTTTGACACATCGCACTGCTAATACAATAGTGTATTAACTCAAAAAGTGTATTTTCTCAGAAACGATGAAAAATGAATTACTCGCTTCCCGTGAATTTTGAAATTTGTGTATAGGTTATAGTTTATTACAGACACTTAAACAATTTCCTTAATTGCCAAATATATTTAAAAATAAAATGGAAAAAAATATTGCACATTTTTGAATAGGAGTTAAGTAGAGAGAATCTTTTTATCATTTCTTACAATATTGTAACGACGGTTTTGTTGACGTGTAGAGTATCAAATTTTACGTTCTGTAATGATACATATTTAATTTCACATATTTTGAGTTACAACAGTATTGCAATAGCAGTGGGATATGATCACAAATGTGGTTTTTTACAAAAAAACGGGTACAGTTTGTTGATTCTCTGTGTGGACTTGTAAGGAATCGTTAGTAAAATTAAAAAAGCGAATGACTCGATAATCTAGTAAATTTACAGCGTCATTAAAATAATGTCAAATCATCAATTAATTATGGTTTTGTACATTTAAAAATAATCACTTAAAAATATTTTAATAAAAATAAAATGTCAGTAATTTGATTTGGTCTGTTTAAACTTAGTTAAAAATGAAAAATGAAAATATGATATCCAACATTTACATTCTATTCATTAGCCAACATTTTAACAGATATTATAAAAAGCTGCACGAAGTACAGCTTATCTTATTGTGTATGATCTTTATTAAAACAACGCAAAATTTAAGATTATTTGATTTTTTTTCACAAAAAATACTGTTTTAAAATGTTGGCTCGCAAACTATATATAATAACTAGTATTAATAATAAAACGTTATCACATTAAATATATATAATCATAGTTTTAATATAAACAACACCGCGTTACCCAGATCGAGCAAGCTTAAATTAACAATCAAACTTTTTTTTTATATAATTGAATAATCGTAATTTTTCGTTAAACTTCGTAAAACATCACCACATTTTATTCCACTTTCAGTGTTATTATATTTTCAAAACAACTTTTGTGCACTTTAAAGTAATAATTTACTTTTATACAAAGTTATTTGTAAAATTCTTATAAATTCGCAGGACTATAACGCCATTTTTGTCATAACTAACGCATATTTTGTATTTCGGTAACTCTCGATGTACTGGAAGTTGTTTGTTAATAAAAAATGTCAATTAACAATATAACTGAAACTAATAAGATATAAAAAAACCGATCAGAGGGTTGTAGATATCATTTCGCTGACCCTAGATTATTTTTATAATATCAAGTGTCGGTATGAACAAGTAGTAAGCTACATGCCAGTCCATAACAGTTGCAGTGCCACTCAGAGCTTTTCTCGAAAACGATACTCAATTTGCCATTATTCGAAAAATCGTGCCCGCCATTTTGGATTCAGAAATCAGTGCCATATTCGTAATGAGAATCCCCAAATACCTCGAAAAGGATACCCATATTGCACTTTTTTGAAAAATCGTGTCCGCCATCTTGGATTTAGAAATAAGTGTTATATTGGTAATGAGCACCCCCAAATACATCGAAAACGATACCCAACCTGCCATTATTCGAAAAATCGTGCCCGCCATCTTGGATTTAGAAATGAGTGCCATATATGCATCCTCAAATACCTCGAAAAGGATACCTGTAATTTCACCAGCATGCTTCCTTCAAAACCGAAAAACAGTAATGCTGATATTACTGCTTGGCGGCAGAAACAGGTAAGGTGGCAGCCCTTCCCTGGACGAACTCATTATCTCAAGGAGCTCTACCTGCTTCTAAAGATATGTTAATAACTAAATTTTGCTAAAAATGTCGATTATATAACTTGTAAAAAGAATATTGCTAATGTTTGTTTGGTTTTAAAACCTTATAAAATTTACCGTAGTTTAATTTAAATTTATTTTTGGTTTTTATGGTGTCGCCATCTCTGAGAGTTCGATTCCCGGCCGGGTCTGTGTAAAAAACTAACTTTTCTATATTGTCTTGAGTCTGGGTGTTTATGGTACCGTTCTTGTTTCCGGTTTGTAGTTAGTTCAAACGTGCAAACGTTCTTCCCGACGATCCTTAACCCCGCTCCTGTGTTTGACATTAGACTGGTATTTTTTTTAATCTATTCAAATATTTTTATTTTCGTACTAAAGCAAAATCTGATTAATCATAAAAAGTCGTGGAAAAAAGATGATATTGAGATTTTTTGTAAAATCACTCCACTAGACTAAAATTTTATCAACGAGTAGGTTATTTCAAAAATCTCTCACTAGATGTCACCAACGGCGACGAATAATATATTAACGCACACACTCAACATAGCTTCGCACTAGGGAAACCCTGCGTCGCGGGTGGCATGGACACACATAGACAGTCACAAATTACACCCAAACTCACGAGAGAAATAAATGTAGGCAATACAAATATTTTTCCGGCCCGGGAATCGAACCTGGGACCTCTGCGTGGTAGTCCGGCATGGTAACCGTTCGGCCCTGGAGGTAGTTAAATGCCGAAAGCCAGTAAAAAGATCTGTAACGAAAAACGCATAGGAGGATTTCGACAGCTCGGTAACTTGACCTGTGACTCAGTTGGTATGAGCAATGCTACGGTGCAGCATGGGTTCAAGTCCCATCGGGTCGGATAATTTTTTTTGATACTATTTTGTAATAATAATAATAATAAAAAAGTTGATTATGGTGTCAGTAATATATAGTCCTGCGAGATCGTCAGTGTTTTGCAAATAATTCTGTATATTATACAATTTAAAATAAAATAGTTATGAAAAAAAACCTATCCTTGTAACTCAACACACCCAGAACTTTATTTTCACAACGCAAAGCTCGATTTTTTCAATAATTATAATTTACAATTAGACACGTTTTAAACATACGTACTTTCTTAAAATTCTATATTCTAACTAATATGGCAACTCTCGTATATACTTATTGTATTGTAAGTGCACTATTCTATATTTACAATTTCAGTTACAATAATATTTACAAGTGACAACATTTTTAAGCTACTCCTAGTCCGCATTGATAGTTTTAACATGAAAATATATTTCGTAAAATTATAATTAATGAAACTTGGCTTAGCACACCGCTTTGCGCCAAACGTTAGTACATTTTTTATTCCTTTGTTTTGTTTTACACACATGTTTTCGTTACAAAGTTTGAAAATTTTTATAGATATCAATTTAGTTCGGCAGAGTTCTGTTGAAATTTTACATACACACGAGATTCGTGCAATATCCAAGATTCAAGATATAAGAAGAACAATTTCTTTTCTCTCTACACCGTGCAATACAAATGACGGCAAAGTAAATAAACTTGCAACAGTTAATGATAATAAAATGTAATTTAAAAAAGCGGACATTTTTTTTATCTACCCATTTCGTCTATGACAAAGTCAGTCTTAATTACACTTTCTGGAAGAAGTGCTAAAACAAAACAAATCTTAATTTAAAAATTGACGTAATTTGATGTTAATATAAAATACTATTATTTTTTAACGTTGAGTATTATATAATTAATCGCAAGATATTTAATTCAATTTTAGTAATGGAGTTAGTGATGCAAAATTATGTTCAAATTTTTTTTGGCAGTGATTTAGCTAAAGTCAGTGGTATTTTTAAGATAAAAATTACCCTTAAAGTAAAATTACAAAAGAAAAAAGGACGGGTCCGAACGTTCATAAACATTTAATTAAAATTATTTTTATATGCATTTCATCTTAAACCACTTGTAATCTTCAACCAATCAAAAACCATAAAACAAATTGATATTTTCGTTTTATATTTCTGATTGTTTTGTTAAATTTTTTTAATAGGTACCTCCGACAAGTTAGGTTATATTTTATTTTTCCCTCATTTATACATTTTTAGTTGTACAAAGTAAAACTAATTTTTACACTTCATGATTCATTTTTGTTGCATCATTGTTGGTGTCAGTTGATTTCGTTGCACAAGATTTCCCATCACTCGTGGCTTGAACTGAAGAATTTCCTGCGAAAATATGTTTTATGTAAGTAAGGATTAGATGATAAATTAATAATAGACGTTGGTTCGTACAACAGTACACGGCGATGACAATATGTGTTTTGGTCTATTGAGAACTTGGCCTTTTCACTTATTATTTTTTTCTACACTATGAGAGTGCGGAAAAAAATTCAATAAAGTTTGACAAACCCCAGGTCCTTGCAAAAGAAGTCCGTTATCTACCCAGGATGCTGCGAGAGGCCATTGAAATTAAAAATATCCTAATTTCAACAGGGAAGATGATTTCTCCGTACCACCAGCTTGGGATCCAATATTTCCTGTGATGAAAAATCCCAAACAGATATAAGACTGCAGTACTAATTAATATGTTTTAATTTATTCTAATTTCTATTATTAATTAATTGAACTTAATAAAAATTCATTATATAATAATATTACATAATAAAATAATTTGTAAAACGCAATGTAGCGTAAATTGGAATGTTATCTTTGTAAAATTAAGAATAAGGTACCTTAAGGTATATTAATTAATAACTTTTGTAACTATAGTGAAAAAATAGGGTGGTTTGCTCAGTTAACCGTGACCATGGGACCTGTAAAGGGCCCGAAACGTGGATTAATTTGAAAAAACAAATATACGCGATTTAAATCCAAAATAATTAAAAATAAATTGGACTTTATATTGGACAAAATTCTCAATTGGCTAGAATACCATAAATTAAAATTAAATCTAAATAAAACTAAATTAATTCAATTTAAACCCTTCCAAAAATCTCCCCTGCCTCTTAACTATAATTATAATAATCACACACTAACCACTGTAGACACTGCTACCCTACTGGGACTAGATCTGGACTCACACATGAACTGGAAACCGTTCATTCGAAATCTGACCAACAAATTATCATCATTTATATACGCCCTAAGTCATCTAAAACGTGTAACTGATTTTAAATCTGCTCTTACGGCATACTATGCTTACTGTCATTCGAGATTGTCTTACGGTGTTATTATGTGGGGAAATTCTACCAATGTTAATGATGTATTTATTTTACGAAAGGAGTGTATCAGGATATTGACAAATATAGAACAGAGAGAATCATGCAGACCTCTTTTTTAAAAAATAAGCATATTAACCTTAACAGGTATATACATACTTGAGCCGTGCAAATTTGTAAGAAACCATCCTACTTTATTTTCACCAAAAACTGGAATTAAACGTAACAATAGAAACCTACATCAATTGAAAGTACAATTTTCTAAATTAAAATTAGTTTGTTCAGGACCGCAAATTATGATAACTAGAATACAATCACATACCAGTCCACATAAAAGAAATTAAAGAATTTAAGATTTTCTCTAAATATTTAAAATACTTCCTTATAAATAAAAGTTATTATAACATTCAAGAAATTTTCAATGATCAAAATTAATTAAAAATACTTCGACATCCTTCTTTTTAATCAATATATGTGATGATTTATTTAATATGGTGTTTACCATATTGAATAAGTCATCATAAATAATATGATTGTACCTCTATATGATGACATATGATTGTAAACCATTATATTTAATAATAAGTGAGTGTCCTCTCTACTCTGTTATGCCCTTACAGGGTGTCACATGTACACTTACAAACCACTGTACGTAAATTATTAATAAGTGTGAGAATGCAATAAATAAATAAATAAATAAATAATAGTTTCATTTCCTATAATTAAGTACATTATTTAATTTTCAAGTGTAGTCACTTGAAATATTAATTAATGTTTCACGATAATATATAAGAATATTCCAATAATAAAAACTGCCACCGAAATTATGTAAACTAACCTAAAAATGACCCTTAAATATATGATTAAGTCTCGATTTTAAAATCAAATAAAGGCTTCAAACTTACTCCCCTCTTTTAGCGTGGGAGTAATAAAAGCAGGATTTACCATTAATCCTAGTTTTTAGATGCGGCAATGTGTTAGTGTGTCGGTCGAGCAGACTCTTGTTGAAGTAGACAGTGTTGTCGGTGTTGAACCGTACTGGCGGTGAGTTGGAGCAGCTCCGGTCCATTAAACGCGGCTCAAGGTGGTATCTAGGGAAAAATTATTAAGTTTAAGGGCAGTTACTCTCCCGTAAAGTATCCCTCCCGCCTTACATCGTGGGTAAGTTTCAAAAAAGTTTCACAAATTTATCTACCAGTGGAATATAGAGGGTAATTTGTAAAATGCTAACTGCCTCTCAGGACTATCATTAGTAACAACATAAACAACACCTTTTGATCCATGACTTTTTACAAAATATGTCTATAGTACCTTTACGCTATGATGGCCGTTTTAATAGTGACGTGAAAAAAAATTTATGGATGTATAATTTTACGACACAAGTCGGCATTTGTTTTTCGAAATTCGAAATTTTTAAAATTGAAATTCAATACGATCGTCACCATTGACTTACAAATAAATGGGCGACGGGTCTAATACAAAAACCACGAAAAAAATGTCCCAAGTCAACCTATTTAAACGTAGTGACATGTAAAGGAATATGACAAAGCTAAAACGTTGAATTTAAATTGTAATGTCATCGCAGTACTGCCTAATTTTGCTTGCTTCGCTGTCAGTCGAACAAACGAAGACTAAAGCGTGAATGACGCTCTGTATACGATTTTAACGCCCTATAAGTTCGGACACTTTTTAGCGCGGACCCGACGTCCATATAATAATTGTAAGTCAATGATCGTCACTTATAGGATCGCTGGCCAGCACAACTTCTACCGGGCGAGGGTGGATACTTAAGTCGAGGGTAAAATGGGTTTTATGAACAAGTTATACATTCTGCTTTTCACTTCGATTGCAAGGAAATTGAACAGCAATATTACAAATAAACGATTATTTAATTAAAATTGCATGTAAAATTACAATAATCAGACATATCTAATGTGATGGTTTTTCCTGACATATTCAGTGTATTACTTTGTATTCTATTACGAACTTGAGATGCCTTTATTTTATAAAGTTCTAGTGTGCGTGGCTGTTAGCGCAGGCGTCATTGCCTCGGTCTTAAACAACGACTTTATTTTATGCACTAGAGCATAAAATCCTATTTTATGCAGCCTACACCCAGCATAAATACGAACTTTAAGAGCATGAGAAGTGAAAACATTTTTATTTTCGTTTTATTAAAACTTTTTAATCAGGTACCCCTTGCAGTGTTAGTTATAAATCTTGATGTAGATGTGACTCGCATTTGATTATATTTTTATTATTTATATTATTATTCGATAATGAATTGAAATTTGACCTCACTATTGCAACCTGTCAAAACGGCAATCTAAGCGAGCCGGTACTGTAATAAATTTGTAGTTCTACTATCTGATACTTTTTAGATCTACATTTAGTAGTAGGGTAGTAAGTTCAAACTCGTAAGATGGGGGTCGTCGGGGAGGACCGACGAACCCCATCCGTGCTCCTGCGTTTTGCACGGAGTTATCACCGTTTAAAGCGATCTATTTAAATATGTTTATTTTTGTATGAAATAAAAAATTGTCGTTTACGATATTAAGTTTTTATTATAATACAAACAGACGGGACAAAAAGTCGTGCGCCTATTGGTAAGCGACACGTCTATCCATAACCGTTGGAGTGCCACTCAGAGCATTAAATCGCAAAGATCTTAAGGGCGCTGCCATTGCGTCCGTTACCCTGAGACACAAGTCCCATGTGCCTGTTATTTCACCTGCACCCTTACCCTTCCAAACCAGAACGAAGAAGTTGGGTTTATGCATAGTATTTATATTAAGATGAGTATGGCAACTCCATATAAAAGTAATAATGCGGCTTGTGTGTGTGCACGTCTGTTGCGCTTCGTGTACGGATGCACACATTCGCATAATCTCGCGGTGCACTCGTGCTGCATTGCACGGGTCGTCACACTGGCCATTAATATGTAATAGAGTTGAAGCGTTTACTTGGTATTCAAAAAATTACATCAAACAGTAGACGTGTTTATTGTTGTGTTTGTGGTGGTGTGAACAAAAGTGCCTATCTAAGTAGTTATGACCCTAAACGGTGATAACTCTGTGCAAACTTTTTGAACGTTTGAACTTACTACCTAACTACCAAAATACAGATGTAAAAAGAGTCAGATAGTACAAAAAAAAAGAGTTTATTTTTGGTAAAGGAGGATGGCGACATCCCGTGTATTTTGTGACCCAGTGTTTTTGACGACGTGTATTAAGGAGACCTATCAATACTTGTGATTTATTATGAAAGCATCAAAAAAGCTAATTGAGTACAGCCTGTGGAACCTGGGGTTATAAAGTTCATAAAGGATATGTTTATAACATTGTCTTGTATATCGCTTCAGATGTTTGTTCGTAGTAGCAGAAAACAACAAGTTTCAGTTTGTTCCCAAAAATAATAAAGAACTTCCCGAATATTAATTAAATCTGTCAAACTCTGCCACATTTAACATAACTTATCATGTTCTGCAGTAATGAAAAAGAATAAAAATTAAATCTGATCAAATGGCAGAAATCTGCCAGAAATGGTCACACCGTTCTCAATATTAATACTAGGAAAGTCCGTGACCGGCTCGTCGTCGTTCTTGGGACAGCTTTCGCAATCCTCCTTTATCATGATTTGTAAAAAGTTTTGTAACGAAAGTTGTTTGTGATGTAAGCAATCGAGTTCTACAAAGTTGTTAATATTTTAAAAATAACCCTGTATATAATCAAGATATCAATCCGCGATGCCGATATAAAAATATCACTTCATAAATACGTACTAATGAACATCTTATTTTTTATTTTTTTACAACCTAGACAACTAAAATAATAATGGAACAACCCTACTCTCCGAGTGAAGTGTAGGCATTTACTTGCGCGGAATAGAGGAGTTGCCCTACTTGCTCGTAATATACTATGATTTATCAAACTATGGCGAATAAATCGTCCAAATGCTTGTGAACGCTATGGGCTGAGTTGTCTATGAAGATCTATAGCCTGCTGTCATATGCGTTGTGATGCTGAGTAATTGTTCTAGCTAGTGATTTATACCAGTGAGTTCGTGTTAATGCTATGTGCTCTCTAGTAGGCTCAATTAGTAAATTATGTAAAAGTTTGGCATTTTAAGCTTAAAATAATTTCTTTTGCACCTCACTAGCTCGGAAAGGCTTCTTTTGTCATTAGAAGTTTTTTGCCAACGCTAGCGTGGAAAAAGTTTTTGAAATTCGAATTTGACCATGGGCTGTGGTGCACCTAACTTTTTTTTCGATGAAAAGAAAAGATAATGACACGTTCAACTACGCGATTTGTCGTACATTACTTATTTAAGTAATATAAATCTGTTGGTATATTTTCTTTTTATTGTCAAATAAATTGACATTAAATTGACAATGATAACTAATAGCGTTTATTAAATTATTTTAATTCGTCGAAGAACTAAAATAATTTCAATAATCACTTAAATACACAAAATTATAAGTACAAGCAAAAATAAAAATTGATGAGGTGCAAATTCAGTAAGCATCCGAGTAAAAACTTTTTCTTTTGTTTGAAACTGATGTTTTATAGTTCAACTGTTTTTCTTTCATCTACCATTTTCCTTGCTATAGCGAGGTGAAAAGATGCGTGTTTCGTTCGGCAGCGAAGTTGTTTTGTGTCTTGTGCCTTGAAACCCTCGCTAGGCTCAGGATTCTGTTTTAGGCTCCTTCGCTTGTTCAGGTTTCAATACAAGCACTCGAGTCACACAACAACTTTGCAGCCTTGTATAAGAAATAACTATTTTTAAATTATGATATATGTTATGATGTCTGATTACAATGATATCCAATTATTAATAGGCAGAGCATCTGGCACGGATTGCCCGAGGGTGCTGGCTCGAATCCAGATACAATGAATTTTTCTAAGTGTATTCGACCTTTGTAATTAATAATTAATTTATTTTTACTAAAACATTTTCGTTTCTTTAATTTATTTTCTAATTGCTTAGTATTATAATTTAGAAATGATACTATAATGTGTTTTTTTTATTACCTAGGTTCTAGTTCAGGCATCTGAGCTAGATTAAGCGGGTTTCTGCTAGGGTTGCTGTAAATGGCCGGTGGTGGCGGCGTGGCGTACATCTCTGGCGGCATCAGTTGCTCAGCTGGCAGCTAAAGTTGAAAACAAAGTCAGACATGGTCTAGAAGTAATTAATCTAGAGTTTAGTCTAAATTGAGTCTTATATCAATTTCAAAGTAGGTTTACACCGGAATGTCAAGGTCGGACAATTATACTACTATTCTATTTAGCAGGGGTGGTATATTGCTGTAAAGTAGCAATTTTAAACATCGGATGATACGACTATACTGAGATGTTCCTGAATTTCTTCCTTAGTTGTGGGACACTGGTGTCTTTCTTTTTTTTTTGTAATAACTAGTGACGGGACGAACAAGTCGTGCGCCTGATGGTGAGCTCCACGCCTGTCCCTAACAGTTGCAGTGCTACTCGGAGCTTAAAATCCAAGGATCTGAGGGGCACTGCCACTGCGTCCGACACCCTGAGACATAAGTTGACAAGTCCCATGTGCCTGTAATTTCACCGGCATCCTTACCTTTCGAAACCGGAACACAGTAATGTTGATATTACTGCTTGATGGCTGAAATAAGTAAGGTGGCAGTACTTTCCTGGACGAACTCTTTCACAAGTTGCTCTACTGCTATTTTCTGAGATGGGCATAAAAATGTCAGTATTGCAGGGATCTAAATGGGCTAATTTTTAAATAATTTAAATCATCTCAGTTGTGTGTGTATTCTGCTAACAGTTAAAAGTAGTGATATATCAGTGGCTAGCACAGAGTATATAACCAGAAATACAGACGAAATATACATCCATCCCTGGTAAATCTCATCAGGCAAATGGGCCTTACATCACTTTTAAATGTCAACTCTCGTTTGATATTCCAAAAATATTCTGTATTTATTGTAATAAAGATAATATCTTTAACAGTGGGGGCTGTTCCATTCGGTGGTGTGGCAAAAACAGTAAAACATTTAATTACAAAACAAACGGAATCACATTTCATCGGTAATTAAATATTAAATGGGTATGGCGGGGTACAACGAAGTGGGTGTACGGAGGGAATTAGCATTGGTTTTGTATGTTTTTCAATTGTTAAGATGCAAGACATGCAACGCAGAGGTTTTGAGTCGTGTGGATCTTTGCGTTCCTGGTGGGTATGTGTGGCGCCGGCACTGGCCTCAGTTGTTGACGATTCCTCGTGGGAGAACCAACCTACTGTACAGGGCACCACTGACACGATCGATAAGGACTTTGAACGTTATTGATGGGAAAATTGACGGTTGAATTGAATTGAAGTGAGTTCAATAAAATAGCTTTATTTGTACTATGTTATGAAATATAATATCAGTTCGTAATTTAATATGGTACAATATAATTTTAGTAGATACAATAGAATTTTTGAATAAAATATTTATGTTTGTAAATAATGTTGAACAAGTGATAATTTTGGCTACACTATTGCATTAGGTTAGTCCTGTAATGATAGTTGCTAGCTTATGTATGTAAAAGAAGTCGGGCTGGCCAATCGGAGCGCATTTGGCATCGTAATGATTTGGCAGAAAGTTTTCAAACAAATTAAATAACATTTCGTCTCTATTTCTGGTTATATACTCGATAGTGGCTAGTCATCATACTATTGCAGTTTTTTGGTATTTTGCTCTTCTATTGCGTACTTTCTCTCTAAATATTTGACATAAAAATATATTTCATTCGAAAACTAAATTGCTGATTAAACAACATAAAAATTAAGACATGCTTATTGCCGTAGTAGTTTTAAAGGTAACATTGATCTATTGAGTGAATGAATGCCATCAGTGCCATTACACAGTTAGTAGGCCATCTGTCAAAATAAGAATATAGAAGGCAATAACGCAATTAGTAAGCATTAGAACGTCGTAACATTCATATTTCAGACAATTTTGGTAAAATTTTATCTTCTTTCACAATCTATCGACAAAACTATCGACAACAACTACATAACTACTTAAAATTTTATGAAAACTAGCAACCCTATAAACGTTACTTTACTCCGTCTTCAAAAAAGATAAACTATAGATTGAATTCTTAATATTAGTAAAGTAGAGTCTTACCAAACCACTAGTATTCAACGGCAAAGCGTTTTTATATTTCAACCAGTCTTCATAAACTTTGTCATATGGTTGTCTATGACATTCGTTCCCATGCGGCATATGACCTAGACTTGTCATGGGTCCTAGGCTCTGTATACTGGGACCTAAATTCGGCACTGCTAAATTGGTTTGATAGTTTGGACGCACTCTATATTCCATTGGTCTGACCTGTGGAAATAATAATTATATGTACTTTATTGCACCAAATAACATTTTAAAAATATAACCACTTCACAAAAAATCTTTCAATAATAGTTTTTATTATGATTATTTCTTATTATAAAGATCGAACACATAGAAAGATTTTCTTCGACTTGATGGGACTTGAACCCACGAGCATACTGCACCGCGGTATTGCTCTTACCAACTGAGCTATGGGTCAAGTTATCGAGTCGTCGAAATTCTCCTATGTGTTTTTGTTAAAGATCATTGTAGTGCATTTTTCGGCATTCTGCGTCGCTAGTGACATCTACTGAGAGATTTTAGAACCTTCTCCACCACTTTTGGCATCGAGTATATAACTAGAAACAGAGACGAAATAAGGGTCATCCATCCCTGGCAACTCATCAGGTAAATGGGCCTTATATCACTTTTAAATATCAAGTCATGTTTGAGCTGAAATCACAAATTAAAAAACTAAAATAGTCAGCGCCAACAACTGACCTGTATGTACTTCGCCGTAAATTCCAAAAATATTCTGTATTTATTGTAATAAAGATAATATCTCTAACAATGGGGGGTGTCCCATTCGGTGGTGTGGGAAAAAAAGCATAATATCTAATTACAAAACGAACGGAATCACATTTCATCGGTAATTAAATAGGTATGTAATTTTTAAATTTTCGTCCATTATAGCCAAGCTCAGGTTAAGCTGGTCGACTTGAAGTGAAACAATGGACGACACCCGTCAATTGTTTCGAATTCGGGCTGGCTAATCGGAGCGTAGCTCAGTTTTTACACTAATGATTTCGCAGATTAATTTTCACACATTAAATGATATTTCGTCTCTATTTCTGGTTATACAGTCGATGACTTTTGGTTAGAAAAATTTAACGACCTTTAAATTAAATTTTATACTTTAATTTATATAGTTTTTTTACTATAGTTACATTTTATTAGTTTAAACTAAATGATTACAAAATGAATAGTTTCTTCATGAAAGATAACTTTTTAAAGAGAATTATCAGCGAGAACTCGGTATTGCATAATATAGTGGTATTTTTGTACTTACAGAAGAATTATTAATATACGAACGGCACACCGCTACATATGCAATTCCGAACATTCACTATATTTAAGTCAGTAGTAATAGAAATATAATAAAATTTCAATAAGCACTTGGCCAAGTTTTGCACAGATACTAGTTTTTTACCTGAATGTATTGGTTGCAAGGATCGATATTGTGGTCGTAAAACCGATCACAATTCGGCGGTATACAGTCGTATTTATCCGAAGGTGTTTTCGATATTAGAGGCCGAATAGAGCTGTAATCTGTTGTCGAAGATTTATTCGAGCAGCTGTCACTTATTTTGCCATCGAGAGGGATTATATCTGGGTTTTTATCTGAAAAAGAACATTTTAGGTTGAAAATGATAGGAACTTAATTACTTTCCTAAAAAACTTATGGCCTTCGAGGCACGTAAGGAATTGCAATTTTACCCTTTCAGACGACGGATAGATTTCTTTATATAAAAAAAAAAAGTGTGTATTTGAACCACATGTCGCATTCAAAAGGCTCAAGTTTTAGCGTTCAGGGAATAAGTCTTGCAAATTTTTGGAATATCCGCAACATAAATGTGAAAGCCTTTGTCTAGTCCCCCGACGACGGAAAGGAAAAGACGGAATTAAATAATGCAATTCACAACTACGTGTTGATTCAAAATTAATCTCGTTATTCTGAATTTTCATACAAGTCACAATTGAAAATTGTCAGGATTCTGAAACAGTGATGCAGTATCGACTTTTGATAACAAAGTTCTTGTTGACAGCAGAAGAAATAACGCCGCAACTTGGTGTGTCTAACTGCCACCTTATAAAAGGAAATATTTTCTAACATTTTTCAATTATCGAAGACCACACCGAGTTACTTCAAGTTTCGTAAGTGCCATTCCATAGAAACTAATTAAGTGTACCTACTAAAATTTAATTGACGTATCCCAAAACTTTGACAATATAATTTTGATGCGGGTTTTATGATAATTGACATGTGATCACAACTGAGGTGCCAATAAATCTAATTTTGAATGGAATCCTTTGGGATAGCCAATGTCTATTCAGTCAATTAGTACCTTAACTGCCGCTTGTGCACTAAGTTCGTTTCAAATCCGAGAAAATTTGTACCTTGTACACCTAGAGATAAAATGACACTTCGGACACCTATAACATTTCGGGCCGTCATTTCTCGGATTCGGAACTGATACGAAACGGACACAGTGTGCAAACGCCCTTAGGGAGTGACCACATTTAGTATCGCATTAAACCGGAAAAGATGGATGGATTGTGTGAAAGATGACATGGATAAGAAAGGTGTGGAAATGAAAATGACGATGCTATGGAAATGACGGTTGATAGGGGATAGTGGAAGAAAAATACATGTTGTGCCGACCCTCGACCAAGTTAAAAGACGCGTGATGGGAATGAAGCTCCATATTCTTTTGATTTGGTAGAGTATTACTTATTTGACGTCGGAGAACGGGAGAAGACCCCCTGGTTCCTGCAATTTCTGATCGCGTCTGTACGCAACCGATGGCCGCGTCGACGGCGAATTGACAGTGTGATTCTTTAGCTGTTAGTATTAAAAACGATTTAACGTCTACAAACGCCATTTGAGCTGACTTTAATTTCCATTGCGATTGAAAAGAAAAAGCAGAGTTCTGATCTAAGCTTTCTTTAAGAGATTTGGGTAGTCGAGTTGTTCACAGTAAGTGGCATTATCAGCTATGCAAAAGAACATAAACCCACGATCAACAGCTAGCCAGGTATAAACAGGCTGGCATCAAGAAAGGATAATAGGGTTACGCAACTTTGTCATGATCGACATTAACTTGTTATATCCCAATCCCAAAGAGTCCAAAAACAAAAGCATTCAACCAGTGCGGTCTACCAGTTACGTCCTATTCTAGACTTATTCTAGAGTGGCGACCATGTCAAATGCAGTGTGGGACTGCAAGATGGACGGACGACCTGTGAAACGTGACCGACAGCTCCTGAATGCGGGCGGCACTTGTCAGGGAGAGTGTCGTGCTCAGGGGGAGGTTTATGTCCAGCAGTGGATCCGTGTAAGCTGATGTAGTAGTAAGAGAAGATTTGGTAGTGGACTCAAAGTCCACGGCTTAGCGGTGGCAACCGCATGTTATGCAATGCGCAACAGGAAGTGAGCGTGCCTATAGCTCCGGTACCTATCTGGAAAATAGGGAGGGTATTGTACATGCACCCGGGCGGCTCGCCCGAGGCACTAGCCTCTCGAAGAACCGGATGAAGTCAAGTGACAGAAGTCTGTGACAATCCTTTACATTGGCTGATCTGGGGTCAGAACCTGAACTTATAAGGTTCCTGGTTAGAGTGAACTTCTCGTATACCCTAAGGGTCGGAGGCAGGGTCACTATAATCAAAACTAATGTAGAAACGTATGGGGCTGATGTAGTAGTAAATTATTTACCAGCATTTGGTACAATGGTTGTTAGAGTTAGAAAGAACAAAGGACATAACCTACAAACAGCGTCCCCAACTGAGTATCCGTGGTTAAATTCGTTCTATAACACAAAAGCCAAAATGTTATGAAGGGAAAATGTTATTTACTAAAAGCCCTTCAAAGTAAGTAATTAAGTACCCATTCACATGAAGTTACAATGAAGTTGGGACTTTCAGTCCATTTATTTTGTTCAGATTTTTCCTGGCTATGTCGCTATATATTTGACATAAATTAAGGTTATTTCCAATTTACTCACCCAAACTGTCAACGCTTTCAGATTCCTTTGTGCCTGTCAGGGGAATATTTGAGGTCTCATCTTGTTGCCGCTTATCCTTCTCATTTTTATCTGTGGAAGACGAGTTCGTTTAGATGGAAATATTAATAAAAATCGTCAATTTATCAACTTCAATTGAATATCCGCAACTGTACGGCTGTCGTGACTTGGAAATAAATTATAAGGCGATAACAGTTTCTTGGAAATAAAGGAACGGTACAAAGGAATATATATTCTTGGGAAAAGGCATGCCTTTTGTGCATGTTGTACTTGACCAAATCATTCTAGTATTTACAGTTTTGTCACTAAATTTGTACGCAAATTATGTAATATGTGATTGTGTTAAAAGTTATTGCCTTTTGTAAGAATTTTTTAACCCGTCTCGTCTCCTACAGGGACACGGTGTCGCAAACGATTATAATTTTTTTAAAATCATGGACTAATATAAAGCAAACTGCGCGTTAGAGACACCGTGGTTCTAGGATGCTACAGTATCAAAATCGTTAGGGACATCTTGCGTCTTTAGACGCTAGAGTACCAACGTCGTTAGGGACACTTTGTTGCTCTAGGACGCTAGACTACCAACATCGTTTTAGTAGCAGTTGAAGGACAAGGGTGCTGGTAAAATTACAGACACATGGGACTTGTCAACTTATGTCTCAGGGTGACGGGCGCAGTGGCAGTGCCCCTCAGATCTTTGCGATTTAAAGCTCTGAGTTGCACCATCAGGCGAACGTGTTGTTCAGCCCGTCACTTGATATTATACAAAAAACACACACTGTGTGTCTCTAAGACGCTAGAGTACCAAAACCGTTAGGGACACTGTGTGTCTCTAGTACGCTACAGTACCAAATTCGTTAAGGACATCGTGTGTGTCTAGGATTGTCACACACCGTGACACACTTTAAAAAAATTAAATAGAAGACCCGGGTTCCATATTATTTCAAAAACACTACACCAAAATCAAATCTCTAAATTAGAGCAATCATGTATATAACTTATTTAATCTCACCGCGAAATTACTACACCGCAAAATTTCATTGCGCCTCTCGCACACCAATGGCTGTTCATACTCGATAAAATGAACCTTTTCAATTTTAGAGCTGGCCAATAACCGAATTTATGTATTTACACCGCATTGTTAAAACTCCGGATTTATTTACTTGGAATGAATGAATATGTATTTATTTTAAAATTTTGGACTAGAGAACCTTTAAAACTACATACAGTAAGAAATGAAACTATTTTTCCGGATTTAAATCGCGTATATTTGTTTATTCAAACAAACCAACGTTTCGTAACGTTGGTTTGTTTGAATAAACATTTAGTTTAGTCACCTGTAAATTGGACCTGTAAAGAGACCGAAACGTTGGTTTGTTTGAAAAAACAAACAACACATTGTGTAACAATCGTGACCTAAGAACTCGATACATTACAGTAAGGTTAAAGTTTTACTAGACACGATCACCGACTCTTATAATAAGGTAATCTATGTCATGAGAGCCTGTGTTCTCAAATAACAACCTCACACTAAGATCCAATTAAGTTAATTTTCCATTATACAACTAGAAGAAAGAAATTAATTAAAAAAAAAAGAAAGATGGATGTTTTTAATTGCAAAATTAGTTTATTCAAGACGCAATTACGAGTATCGCTTGAGTTTTAGGTTTTCATAATTTTGTGTTTCGTTATATTGTTATTATTTTTTAACTATTTATTAAATTATTTTGCATGTTTGTTTTCTTCGTCTTCGATTTGGTGATCGTAATTTTAACTTATTACTAAAACTAATTGTGTCATACTGTGTACACTATTTTGGAATGTGATGTTTATATTCTGTTTGTGTACCTTTAAAATAAAATAAAAAATGAATAAGAACTATACGTAAAATTAAAATATTATTAATAACAATGTAAGAAGTGTGTATGGGTTTTTTCTTCACTCAGCTTTACAGTTACTAGCGGCTGACAAGAGATGTCGCTTTATTAATTACAATATTTATTGAATATCACGATGTTTTTATTAATATAATATTAAATTTTTTTGTGAAAATACTCCACTAGTTATTTAGTACTTAGAAAATTTTCTTTGATACCACTAGATCTAAACCAGTGACGTTGAAAGAGACAACGCCACCGAAAGCGCAACGGGATCAGCCGGATCAAATTGAATTTGTTCGATGTTTGTAACAATAATAACTTCAAGTAATTTTATAGAAATTAAATGAATATATTTATTTGCGACACGCGTATGCATTTCAGTTGCAGAGTCACTTTGAGCTTTTAATCGCAAAGATCTTAGGGGCACCGCTGCTGTGCCCGTCACCATGAGACATAAGTTGACATGTCCCAAGTGTCTGCAATTTCACCAGCACCCTTACTCTTTAAAACGGGAACACAGTAATGCTCAAATTACTGCTTGGCGGCAGAATTAGGCAAGGCGGCAGTACTTCCCTGGATTAATCTTTTTACAAGGAGTTCTACTACTACTAATGGTTGTACAGTAGATTAATAATGCGATTTAAAAAAATATTATTAATATTAAAATTATTATTTCACTTCTCATGCTCTTAAAGCTCATATTTATACTGCATGTAGGCTGCATAAAATAGGATTTTATGCTCTAGTGCATAAAATAAAATCGTCGTTTAAGATCAATGACGCCTGCGCCAACAGCCACGCACACCAGAACTTTACAAAATAAAGCTTTACTTTTGTTTTTTAATCCGTGTTATATTACAAAATTTAAAAAGTAGGCAATACTAATATTAATAAATTATAAGAAATAGAAATGCATAAAAAATAAAAGCTTGTAAAATATAACAGAGCATTGTGTAGTCCGACCTAAGTCACGTGTAGAAAATAACCGTTTATTTGTAATATTGCTGTTTAATTTCCTCGCAATCGAAGTGAAAAGCAGAGTGTATAACTCGTTTCATTTTAACCTCGACTTAAGTATCCATATACTCGTCTCGGGTAAAATGACGCGTTTTATGCACTTGTTGTACAATCTAATATTATTATACAAGTATTATAATTAAAAACTGTTGTAGCGCTGGTTAGCGGAGGGGTTGCGTAGTACGACGAATTAGACGCAGACTTCCGTGTAGAAAGGCGTATATTATCAAAAAGGGTAAATCTACTAGGTTATGGACCCAACAGTATGGCTCACTAACGTGAAAGCACACTGTTAAGTGCCAAACCTTGGGTAGCAGAAATAGGCCCGAATCTTCTCAACTACTTGAGTGCTCTTCAGTGCCGTATAAATGCTATAGCGATAGAAAGCATTCACAATTCAAAACACATGAGATGACTACTATAATTGGAGTTAACAAAACGATAGTGCGTTTCAGAGTACAACTAATGCCATCTAGCGGTGACGCTATGGCATAAATGGCGTGTTAAAGTTGTGGTTGTTACACTACTATTTTTTCCTTAGCATTTAAATAATAAGAATTAATTTTGTAGTCTGATGAACTAAAGCGTGTCAGGACGTTTGTTTAACTCAATCTAAAGATTAAAAAAAAATCGATTCATTAATTTAATTTACAGGATAGGTATATTTTTATTGTACATTTGTATTTTATAAGCGAAAGTAAGTCTTCAAAATCAACGTACATATGTCATCGATATTATATCCCAACTCTACATTGTCTGTTCTCTCAAAGTTTACAACTTCGGATCACGATCAAAATGGCTTTGTGGTTAATTTGGCCCCACAGGCCAATTGCTCTTCTCTGCGATATCCAGTCTAGCATACAGGAAATCACTTACACATAATTTACGTCACTTGTACTGTCTTTTGTTTAAGAACTCCCGATTACTATGTACTCAAATAATTATAACTTTTTATTTTAAAAAACCGATCTCAAAAGTGGAATTACATCTATTCGCCAAGTTTAATTGAAATAGGTTACCAGAAAGTGCGCGAAACCGGATTCATTCCCTAGTCTGCCACCTTTAGAGGTGGAACATTTTCTTCAAATTTAATGGGACCAATGCTGAGGTAGTCTCTTTCCCACAAATAAATAATCACCCAAATCGGTGTACAAATGCCGCCGGACTTATCGCGTAACATACATACAAATACAGTCGAATTGTGGACCTTCGAATTGAGGAAACACGTCACTTTTACTGTAAGTAGTTCTATTGAGATTTTTAGTGAAACAACTACTAGTTTTTATTACGATTATTAAGTCAAATAACAGATAAATCATACCAGGAGCTCACTACGAGGAAAACGGAACCTAAGCACGCGCTCAGAGAGGTGAAAATAACGTTACCCGCCGTATGCAGTCGTGCGGAACCGAATGCTGGGGTTATACAAGGATTGTAATGTAAATGAAAGAGTTGTCCGAGCGTTTGCAGTGTCGGCGATACACCCAGCGGTAGGCACATATCCAGTCACCTCGAGTGAGTGATGGAGCCCTGGTGCAGGGACGAACAAGTCGTATTGTCTCATTGTATATTTCTTATAAAGATTGTATGCCTATACCTAATGACTATTAATTATGACCGTAATCTTTTTCCCTCAGAGCGGGGGGGAGAGATTTACGCCCGTAAATTTATTATGTTACTGATAGTTATGAAATATAAAATGATAAAAGCAATTAAAAAAACTGAA